AGCCATGCTTCCCTCCTGAGGATAATTATTTTATATGTGTATTTTTGGTTTAGAATTTTATTTTATAACTAAAATGCTTAAATAGTTGCAATATAATGCACCAGGACCACGATTCAGCTACATCACTAAATCAAATTTTCTATTACGGTATGAAAAGGGAGTCTTCTCTATATATGACTGATACTGAGCACTGGTTCTATGATACTTCTGTGGCATCACCTCGTTATACAAACCTAAAACAAGATACAGTTTTGGTATTAAATGCTAAAGGACCTTCTGTAACTTACATATTTCCTCATGTATACCGGAACTTCCAGTACTGAAAAGTTCAATCGTTGAACCAACATGGAATACTACTGGCCAAATAACCTATGCCTAACAACTACACAAAACCAAATTAATCTTTAAGACATTCTTATTTTGTAGCCTAAATAGGTAATTTTCCTGTACTCAAGCTGCTGTGCTAACATTAAAACCTTACCTTGAAAATGAATATTCACTATATATAAAACTATATAATAATACATTTATTATTATATTATATATGCAATTTATATATTTTTATTTCTATCTTAAAATACTTAGTTTTGTGTTGCTTCCAAAGGTGTACATCTTTGCAAATACAATAGGAAGCACAATTAAATGACATATAATTAAGCTCGAAAATCCGTATTTTTAAATCTATGGAGACAATTTTAAAATGGAGAAACTGAGATCAGTTTCCTCTGTGTTTTCTGACAAGGGAATAACAAGGTCCCTTTCAACCCTAACTATTCTATCAAGTTAAAAACGCAAAAAACCCCAAACCCCAACCTAAATAAGTCATTATAAAAACAACAAAACAAAGAAAGCTGTATGATAATCAACCAGGGAGAAAAGAAAATAAACATTATGGATAGGACACTGAATGGGAAATTAATTCTGTGCATGTCAGTCTTCACTACAGAAAAGGAATAACAGTTTAAAGAAATGAGAATAGTTAAAGAAATGAGAATAAAAGACTTGTGTCAAAAGAAAGAAAAGACTGAATTATCATCAGAGTCAGAATGGTACTTAGGCACAAATTCTAGCAGGTTTTGTCATCTATTTAGCATATCATTCTTAAACAATAATAAAACCCCTCCCAGCTAGAACCTGTGTATGGGTCAGGAGTCAGATTTACACCTTTTCAATGTAAAAGTGTGCTGCAGCAGAATCCAAGCCAGCAAGCCATAATTTTAGTATCGGGTAAAAGAGAACACCCTGACAAATCGAGCATAACAAGGTCACATCAGCACAACTCCTGAACCTGAACTGCTGCTATCCAGTTTATTTTCCTTGATGTTATAAAAGTTACTGGATTTTAAACAGCATTCTAACGAAGTTCTTTGCAACAGACTATTGAGGAAATGAAGATGCAACAAGGTAAAAAAAAACATTTTAGATATGGATCACAAGCTGCTAGAACAGATACAAACAAACTAACCAAAAGAGCTTCGCTAGAATTTGGCATCACACTGCCCAGTGTAGGTAAGTGCAAGGTACAGGAGGATCTATCCAGCTGGAACCACGTAAATAATGCTGTAGGACAATTCCAGGGCAAGATGTCCAAAATCACCCAATATTCATTTTTAAAAGCGATGCAAGCTCTAAAGCGATTGTTGTGTCATTGAAAAAAATTTATGAGTTAGGAGCCCAAGTCTCTTGCAAATATGAAAACAGATGACATTTTTAGACCCAGAAGCAGCAAAATTCTAAACAGCCACTAAATGAGCAGCAAGACTCAAACTAGGAAACAAGATGCGCAGCCCAAAGAAAGAAACAGAAAGTACTGCTGAAGCATTCAGGAGAAAAAAAAAAATCATAGGAGCTGAAGAATAATGCAGAGGACAAGGGAAGTAAGCAGAGATTTCCCCAACTGTGATAATAAAGATCTTCATAAATGTGTCTATTCCATGACATCTGAACATTAAGAGAGTCTGTGATAGGTTTATGTAAAGTTAAACCCTAAAGCACATTAAAATAATGCTAAAGCTCCAAAATCAAGGACTCTGATAGAAAACATCAGAATTGCTTTAATAATTATTGTTTTAATAATTCACTTGGCCCTGCCAGACCTTGTGAACCAAAGGAGTCTTTTTTAAAAAATCTTATGTTAAAAACTGTAGTGCAAGAACCTGCATTCAGGGTGATCTGATCAACTCACCTGCAGAGTTTAGACCTCCAGACCTATAAAATGACCTATCACCCTTTTGGAATGCAGTAACAGTCAGTGCTAGGCCATTACTTCCTGTGAGCAGAAAGTAAGATAGTAGTTAAAAGATGAAAGAAGACCTAGAACTATGCCATATTTTTGGACTTCCTGCTCTCAGCAAAACAGGAAAACATAGTCTAACAGACATTTAGGACTCCTAAATTCAGTTTAGAAGTACTATAGGATGTATACTATGGCAATTGCAGTTATCTCTACCTCTGTGCACACAGCATCTCTTTACATCCACATGCCTCTACTTCCTTCTGTTCCACTCTGCCTCAAGTTCTGCACTTATTTTCTCCCCACACCAGACCCAGCAGGCTCAACCCTCAATAGCTCTATTCTTTGTCACATTGAGTCTCCTCCCCTTGCATTGCCATTCTCAGTCCTAAAACCTTTCATCATCAACCTCCGATTTTAAGACTCCTGCTGCTCCCTCATATTTCTACCTTCTCATTACCCTTCCACCCCACTTTTCACTCCCCTAAACCCCCAAATACCAGTCAAATTCTTTCTCTTCCATTCTGTACTGATATAGAAACAGGTATAAGAACAGCACATTTTTCTGTTTATGCTGGGTGTCTGCACATGGCTTTTTTTGCCCACTCTTCCCTATCTACCCTTTGAGGATGATGTCATCTGTTCACACCATCTTAACTAGCATCTGCACAGCAATGGCTTGTAAGCATGTCTATCCATCCACCTACTCCTGATTCCCTCCATATGGTACTGCTGCTTCTCCTGATTTTCTCTCCAGAAAACTTAAGCTTGATATATTCACAACCCAGCTCCTTATCATTCCTCTCAAACGCTTTTTACAGATAGAACAACTGCCATTATCACCTCCTGTAAATATAGGTAGTCTTTCATGATCCCTTTTCCTGCGTCTGAAGCACATATCCACACTATATCCAAAATCCCATTCCAATCATCCTCCGTGTACAAGTATTTTTCTTTCTGACAGTACAGCTCACCCAATATCTCCATCCTTGTTCAGGCACACACTGAAGAATTAGAAAGGGAGACAGAGATTCATCTGTTTAAATTTAGACAGGCTTCCCTACTTATCCTAAGTCATACTGAAAGTGAAGGAAGTAAATCTCTTTAATATATTAGTATTTATGCTTTCATTTCAGGAATCCTCCGGCTATGCTGGTACCACTGGTATCAAGCTCCTGGGAGACAGAAGATACAAGGACAGCTCAAAGAACTCAATCATTTGCTGCTCAGCATAGCCAGCTGGTACCTACTAATCTTTGTTCAAAGTTTCTGCAATCTCTGTTTAGGTATTTTCTCAATGTAGAAGTACAAAACAGGAAGCACACTAGACAGATATGCACCCATTTTAAAAAATGAATAAAAGATGCTGTTACCTAAAGATAAATAATGTACCAGGTGCCTATCTGAGAAAAAAAGAAGAAATGAAGACATCTGAGTTACAAGACTGCATTTTATAATTGCATTAGCAACTTAAAAACTGAGGACCCCATCAAATTTGACCAAAACTGCCATCTTAACACAGATGATTATGTAAGAACCAAGCTTTAACATTTAGCACCTTATAAAACTTAAAAAAAAAATAAAAATCTTAAAAAAAAACAAAAAACAAACAAAGAAAAACAAAACCTAAAGAAAAAGCCCCACACCCCACATAATTTGAGATTAAAAACTACCAGCAGAACATTCGGTACTCAGATAATCTCAAATTACCTGTTTAGCAAACCGATTTTTTTTTAAATATTATTTTGGGTTCCATACGGAATTTATTTTCAAGGTTTATGTTGGCATTAGTACTAATTAAAACAGATATTGCACTACACTTCTCTTACGCCTCATTAACTGGTTGTGAGCATTGTTTATACTGATAGAACAGATTCAGAAATAAATTAAAAACACAAAAGTGAAAATGAAGACACCTCCTGCCCCCTGCAAAGTGAAGGTCAAGAACATCAAACAAAGCATCCTCACAAAAACCTGTGAAGTCTCCAGCAAAATTCCTGTGGAACAGAAAAGATTTTTTTTAGAAGTTAACATTTCAACAAATCAACAACCTACACTATTACACATACATGGTAGATCGTAGAAATAATTCTTTTCCAATTCACAAACTAATCTGATTTTCAACTCATGATAGAAGTTTGAATAATCTCTGTGAATCCTAATGGAAATTTTCCTAACACACATGTGGGTGTCCTGAATATAATTTATTCAAGACAAGACCTAAGCGTTCGCTTGCATATAAACATATAAGATGAAATTCAGCATGGCTCAAAGAGGCCAAAAAAACCCAAAACATCACAAATGGAAAGTGGGCACATTCAAATATAGATTCTTGGAAGCTTTTTAAGGAATAAACGTTTAATCCCTGTTATTTCATGTCATGTGCTTTCCAGTGTACACGAAGAGTGAAAAGGTAAAAATAAAACTGGCATACCCTTAATATATTCCAGAATTCATAAATCATTTGTAAATTTAGTCCTTTTATAAAAGAATCCTTATATAAATTTGGGGGAGGGAGGGCATCAATCCCATATATGAAGCACATTTTAAGCCCAAGATCACTGACCAATCAAAATTAGTGAATGCACTGCATCTCTCTGCAGTGAGGAGAAGCGACAAGGTAGGCTGTCATTCTGCAAAAGCTGCCCATCGCAAGCTTTCCTCTCGGAAGCACTGCTTTTCTTTTTTAGAAAGCTTGAATCTCAGTGCTGTCTCTGGAGACAAGAAGCCTTCAGTATGTTAAATTACTTTCATTATGTATTTTCAGATGCTTATTGATTCTACCGAAGGAAGAGTGGGAGACTGCAGCAGCCTGTAAACCAGAACTAAAGCAGTTGTATACATTAGCAGTATGCTGAAACAATGGCACAGTACAGGCACAAATTTTCATTAAGGTCATTTTTTGAAGATATGCTTATTACCCTCTTTCCTTTCTACTCTGCTAACAAGTGAACAAAATGAATCCCTCCAACCTGGAACTGCTTCACCTGCATTGAGAATTTATCAAATCTTTAGTGGAGGTAAGATCTGTTCTTTATTATGGTATGCAGAATAAGCAACATTTAACAACAAAAAAAAAAGGGGGGGAAAAATTTGGAGAAAAAAGGGAAGAGATCAGATTCAACTTACATTAAGTGCTAGTATCTTCTTGTATTTGAGACCAGGACATTTTCAAATGCTATCCCCCCCCTCCATTAAAAACACAATGGTAGAAAAATGTTATTTTGTATGAAAGTCTTGTAGAATATTAAGAACCTGTTTTGTTCACATAACATAAAGACAGTACAGTTTAAGCTAGTACAGTACTGGGGGGGGAAGCACATAATGCAATTGGGAAATTTTTTTTCTCCCTTACCAGTATTTCCAAATACTGGCAGTTAATTATGTTACAGATTTATTCAGTTACTCTTTGAAAGATCAGGTAGTCTGTTATTAGTGGATACTTATTGCTTTATAAAGGTTGGCTATTATGACTAATCTCTGGTTGCTTAAGAAATCCTCCTTTTCTGTTTTGTTTTATTTTTAACTTTATTTCTTTCATTTCCCTGTACATTCAAGCTGTTTATTAAGAACACAGATTTGCTAAACATTTATTTCAAGATAGGAAATTATAAGAGTGTGCAAATTAAATAAAAACATATTTTCTATAAATCTCATTGACTATGCTCAATTTCTCATTAAAAGACCAGAGAGCTGTGTGTATACACTACCTGCTTACAAGAGCTCTAAAAGTACATCTTCTAGCTCTAGTCACAGACACACTACATCCAACAGTTATTGCTTCTACTTAGGGCTTTTTGTAACCCGCACTATTTCAAACCAGGTAACTTGCCCAAAAAACTAAATTCCTTGAAGTTGACAGTAGCATGGCACGATTTTACTAGCAAATAGTGAACACACTAACTTGTTTTCTATGTAATCTGTAAGATCCAATTTTAGAGATCCTCTATGTATGAAATAAGTGATATTAGAGAATATATTCTGCATTGCTTTCTTTTGAAATTGTAAGTCCTGCTTTTAACCTTTTTTTTCCTCCCCTTCACAAGGGCATGCAGCAACTAATTCAGTTTTACAACTGACAATATGAAGAATGCAGTTGACCGGGTATCTTTCTAGCTGTATGACCTACAAGCAGCAGGATGCATCACTAAAATGTATTCTTAAGACATAAAGGAATTAGAAACAAAACATGGAACACACTTGTATTACCATTTATGTGCATGACACTTCAACAATATACATGGAAGACTAATACATCTGCTCAGATTTTCATTAAAAGAAGAGTGCAATGATTGATTCTTAAAATGGTGAGCATTAAAGAGGGATTTATAATTTAAAACCAGAATTGTGGAAACTACTGATGCATGAAGAAACGATGAAACATGAATTCCCAGAAGGAGAATATACATACTTCACCAGCAAGCTGAATAAGGTTTTAACCAAGCTTTTTCTATACTACTTCCTAAATAACTTATTTGTCATAATGACTAATGGATATTTTTCCCTCAATTTTATGGTCTGTTATGTATTCTCCTTAAATGAAAATAAACCAAATTAGGTAACTCGTGGTTACTCTGAAAGCACATGAACTGGATTTTATGATGTATGGCAACTTCTCTGACTAAGCCATCACTCAAAAGTAATGAGCAGGAATATTACAGAAAGAAATACGCAACCATAAACTAAAGGATGTCTACATATACCCTGAAATCAGAAATTCTTTTTTCTTTTTAAACCTGGAAAACAAAAACAGACTGCTACAAAATGCAAAAGGGGAAAGAAATTAACATCACCTAAACGAAAGTTTATTTGTTATTGCTGGCTTGAAACTCAGAACAGACACACAGAATATGCACCGGTCTGTAAAAGTATCTCAGGCAATTCCGAAGTCCCCATGTTTAAGCAGAATTTTTTGCTGCTGAAGTGCTGGAACAAAAAAAAGAAAAAAAAAAAAGCCTGCAAGGAATGAAATAAGAGCCCAGCTACTACTTGGTTTCCAGGTTACAGGGCATGTCAAATACCTGTCAGTGACACCATGTATCAATTTATGACAAGCTGCTGCAATGATCTGAAAGGCCCTTGAGGCACAGAGAACAGGTAGGTCAGCAGTTGCATGTACCCCACCTCTGCTCAGCATTTGCAAGGGAACAGGCACTGTCCAGAGGCGATGCATTGGGTAAATTAGCTGCCTGCCTCGACATTTCTGCTTTTATTTAACTGAAAGCTATTACTCTATTCATAAGACTTAGCACATCTGAAGCTTTCTGTTTTCACAGGATTTCCATTGGCATAATGTTAGAGTTAAGACTGTCACTTGTTTTAGATCTGCTTTTGATTTCCTCCTGGCTTTTGCCAATAGGAAAGAACTTCATTTAACCAGTAATGCATTGGGAATGGTTTCTTGAAATCCATTCGCAGACAGGACAGCATAAACAGAGCAAATCGTATTGCTGAGGGTTAATACAAACCTAACAGAGGTTGCCTAGATTAGAAATTAAACTTTTGAAATATTTCTTGTTTCATTTCATACCTGAGACTAATATGTTCTAATTTACATCTTTTGTATTTAAGGCACATCCGAATTAACTGTTGAAGTATACCAAGAATTTTCATCATACAATTTGCAATTAATAGTATTATACAAGTGAGGCTTTTCAGAACTACAGATAAAATCCATTTGCATATTATATCCCAAGTGTGCTTAATTCATACTTCCATTAAAAAGGGGCTTATTTTTATTCACCTTACTGCTTATTCATTTTTAATGTATTCCAAATGAAACAAAGGTCCGCATTTAAATTTATTTTCATGCCAAGTACATTCCCTCTTAAATTTAAAGCTACCTAAAAAGAATACAACAAAACTCACCCTCAAGTATCATAACAAGAAATTGAATAACCCCTCTTTATTTATTCATTTCATTACAAACTCAAGAGCTGGCTGACAATATAAATAATAGAAACATCAGGTATTACATGCAGATGCTACAACCTATCGGCATGTGCAAAACAAAGCAGATGAGACACTAAATAAAGAATCTCCTACATGCAATAAATGCTACTGGTTTTGAAACTCACATATTCCTAAACAAACTATTTATATAAATCTGTTGGATTTACTTGCAGTTTGAGTTAAAAAAAACCCCGAAACCAAAACCAACAAAGCAAAACCCTGAAAGAGTTTTATTTTTAAGTATTATTTTCTAGAATTATTCCCCTAAATCTGTTCTGGGATAAAATTAAATAGTCTTCCATTCCATGGAGGCACTGATTTCTTGAAGAAATTTAATACTCAAATCAGAAAAAGGAAATGCAGGATTTTTATAATAAATTCCATTTCCCCAAAACTACAAATATTTTACATTTTAAATTATATACACTTACATGAATTGTTGCAATGTTAAGTTTCATACATGTAGATGCATACAACATAAAAGTGAACAGAAATCTTCAAGCTCCTTAAAAATCTGTTGAATTACAGAACTTCAAGTTTCAGTTCACAACACTGTTGAAAACTCTTCATAAGAAAGAGGCTGCTAAATTGCCATAAATAATTTAAATGTTCTTTTTATGATACCTAAACAACAGTGCTCCATGTTCCTATCACTTTCTTTTCCCACAAGAGCCCTTTTAAAATGATCTTGAGTACCAATTTGTTAATACTTAACAACATTCTTCTAAAATGACCCTCATCGCCCTACAAAGGCCATGCACAAGTATAGTTGATTCAACAAACGGGCCCTTTGTAAAATCCACATCACTATAAATAAAGCCCTGTCTCCCTAAGTGGAAGCTTTTCACTTCTTTTTTTTCCTTTTCCTTAAACAAATCCTGCTTTCCTTTTTAAAAGGAAAGACCTTATTCTAGCTCCTCAGGCTTTTGAGTCTATGCCAACTAAAGCGCTGAACATACAGTAAATCAAGATTTTGATAAGAACAAATGCTTTTCCCCCCTTCCTCCTTCCCCAGCATTTATCTGTAGTAAATGTTTAAAAAAATCAAATTGTTCCATATTTTATTTCACCTTTCAGGAGAAAAACCAGCTGCAACAAAAGAATGTGCTTCTCCCCCATTCTGGAAGTCAACATGCAGTCTGAATCTAACATCACAGTTCGAGATGACATTGATGACATCGACACCAACATGTACCAACCACTGTCATATCCATTAAGTTTTCAAGTTTCTCTTACTGGATTTTTGATGCTAGAAATTGTTTTGGGACTTGGCAGCAACCTCACTGTGCTGGTACTTTACTGTATGAAATCCAACTTAATCAATTCTGTCAGTAACATAATTACAATGAACCTTCATGTACTTGATGTAATAATTTGTGTGGGATGTATTCCTCTAACTATAGTTATACTTCTGCTTTCACTGGAGAGTAACACTGCTCTCATCTGCTGCTTCCACGAGGCTTGTGTCTCTTTTGCAAGCGTTTCAACTGCAATCAACGTCTTTGCTATCACTCTGGACCGATACGACATCTCTGTAAAACCTGCCAATCGAATTCTGACCATGGGAAGGGCTGTGATATTAATGACATCAATATGGATCATTTCACTTTTTTCCTTCCTGATTCCTTTCATTGAAGTCAACTTTTTCAGTCTTCAAAGTGCAAGTACTTGGGAAAATAAGACACTTCTGTGCGTGAGTACAAACGAGTACCACACTGAGTTAGGAATGTACTACCACCTTCTCGTTCAGATTCCGATCTTTTTCTTCACTGTTATAGTAATGCTAATTACATACACCAAAATACTCCAGGCTCTAAATATTCGGATTGGTACAAGATTTACCACGGGACAAAAAAAGAAAGCTAGAAAGAAAAAAACTATTTCTTTGACCACGCAGCATGAGACTACAGATGTGTCCCACAGCAGTGGAGGAAAAAATGTAGTCTTTGGTGTAAGGACTTCTGTGTCTGTCATAATTGCTCTACGCCGAGCTGTAAAACGGCACCGGGAGCGACGAGAACGGCAAAAGAGAGTCTTCAGAATGTCCCTCTTGATTATCTCAACATTCCTTCTCTGCTGGACACCCATCTCTGTTTTAAACACCACCATCTTATGTTTGGGCCCAAGTGACCTTTTGGTAAAGTTGCGATTATGTTTTCTAGTAATGGCATACGGAACAACCATATTTCACCCTCTACTTTATGCATTCACCAGGCAAAAGTTTCAGAAAGTTCTGAAAAGTAAGATGAAAAAGCGAGTTGTTTCAATAGTGGAAGCAGATCCCATGCCAAATAACGCTGTAATACACAACTCATGGATAGAGCCTAAAAGGAACAAAAAGATCACCTTTGAAGACAAAGAAGTAAGGCAGAAATGTTTAGTACCTCAGGTTGTCACCGACTAGATTTCAGTATTCACCAAAACACATCAAGTGGAATATTTGAACAAATTGTAGAAAAATACTGCCAAATAAGAAAAACTTTTTTAAACTATTGGCGAGACTGTAAATTTTCAATATATATGTTAAACAGAGTAGGACTTGTATATTCAATTTCTTCATTATGTAAGATATATGTTGCATGGCCGTTTGTTAGCGTAACGTGTATATTTGTCAAAAATATTCAAGTTCTCTTTTTTAGAAAATAAATAGCCTTAAAGAAGTGCAAACTTTTAAAAACATTTGTATGGCTCAGTTTCTCTACAAATATAAAAGGATTTTTAAACAAAAAATTCCACTAGGGAATACTCTTCTAAAGCACAATTTCAACATTTTGCACGATGTGGTATTTTTTAATTTAATTCATAAATAGTATTGATCAGAGATAGTCTGAATGCTAATACGGCTACAAGTCGGACACATTTTTACCTTGCATTTAAATAACTACGTATTTCAAATTTCTCCAGCATGCAATTACCATACACATGTAGGCAAACTCATTTATGTGATGTCCTTCAATTAGTCTTTCTGAATCAGTTACTTTCAATGGGGGAAATAAACTTCACGTGTCTTCCAAAAGTTGACAGTACTCTGAAAACAAGTGAAAAGTCTTGCGGATACAATCTCACATCCACAGTTTCTTCGCAGAAAATACACCACTTTGAATAATTATACAGAAAGCGTGGAGGAGGTAAGGGGAAAAGACAGGCCAAATGATGGCAAAAAACACAGCCAAGAAACTTATTGGTCTTGATGATAAAGACAACCAACCAACAAAGCCCTTCCTGTGCAAAGACTTACTAGATTTTCACACTGAAGGGATTTAGCTATAACTCTAGTGTGACGTGGATACCTTTCACACAGAGATTTTTCATTCGTACCATCTATCTACAGAGACAGGTCTGGCTGTCAAGTGCTGCAGCTAAAGTAGAAGATAATTTTCTTACCCTCAATAACTTTTGTATTATTTTGACTTTATTTCTCCTTCGATGATATTCCCTTCTAGCCATGCAACTGCTTTGCCACAAACCAATCACCAACATTGATAGCTACCCTATTTCTGTATTTCCTGGACGGTCATGGTGTATACCATCATACTACATCCTCTTTTTCTATTTCATCTTATACCTGCAATGAAGAATCAAGAAGCCTTAGAGAGTCATTATCATCGATAGCGCTGTAAGAAAGAATTAAGATACTCATCCAAACAAAAGTTTGTTGAGTGGTTTGCATTCTCGCATGCTTAAAAATTCATTATTTCAGTGAACAGGAGGAGGAAACAAAACAAAAAACTGAAAAATCAGTTAGCATTATTTCACTTGTCTTTTTATCTAAACTGCTCAGTGTGTCATCAGCTACCAGTATAATTAAAAGGCTAATTCTCAGTAAGTACTGGCCTATTATTATAAGCAGGTAATATCCTTGAATATGAAAGATAGTTTGACTAAACTATTACATAAAAAATAAGGATTTCTGAAGCACTTTTCTGAAGTTGCTTATAAAAAAAAACAAAAGTGGATTTAAGGGAGCAAAAAGCTATTTTCCATTACATCATTAAATTATTAATCATATGTGTATTGCCAAAACTGTTTTTGTGGTTAAAAAAAAAAATTAGTATTTGTAATGTACCTTTTACTTAGACTTCTGCCTTAGCTTACCATAACAGAAGACTCAAAAACATAATTTTACAGCTCCATCTTCCCTAAATATCAGCCACTTAAAATCATCTAAATTCATCCTATAAGTTTTATTATCTAATTGAAAATAATTCAATATCTAAAATTACTGTGTAACACATATTAAAAAGTCATTTCACTGGCTTTTTTCTAAAAGCTAGCCCAACAACACTGCATTCAACTGTACCAGTTAGTGTGTTGATTTTCTCCACGCTATCACTAGGCTCCTACAACAATTGCAATCCTTCATCTTATTTGAGAGGTTATAGGGGAGAAGTAAACTTACTGGTTTTATGCAAGAAACTTTTGGGTTTTTTAATCCCACATGCTCCAAATTTGTCACTTCAGAAGCATTCTTTCAAGAGTGGGCTCTTCTGAAAAGAGATGTACCCCCAAAAATTAAGCAGGAAGTATTATTTTTTCTTTTTTGTAACACTTCTTCCTTTCTCTGCCTAGCTATCCTCTGAACACTGAAGGAGAACCCGGAATCTCTTCAGTTAATGGCATAATATGATTTCACTGATTACTTCTCTTCCAATAAAAATACTATTCATTTATTTAAGAAGACAAAAACAAATTATAATGACCACAACAGATGGATAAACTTACATCATGTCCTTACCTGAAATAAGCATTTAAGAAAAGCTTTCAGATGTGAATGGTTTCCTGACAACATGACTTCACTTATTAAAATGTAATAAATCTTCAAGAACTACATTTTTTTGTGTTAAAAGCTCATTCATTAGAAAGTCATACTCAATTAAGCCGTACTTCGTAACAAAGAGAAAATGCAGGCTAGGAATTAGTCAAAAGAGATGAAGTCAGTTTTTAAAGGCTATGTTGACCACAGCAATTGATTGCCTTTAGGAATAGAGCAAGTTCATTACTACATTTACTATTCTTCACCTTTCATTAAACAAAAAAAACTTACTTATACCACACTGGAGTGCACTTCAAGGTCTGCCGAACAAAATTCTGCATAGAGCAGGCATTGATACAAGAATGAACATATGCAATCCTATGTACATGCAGGATTCATTATAAAACAGAATCATATACAAACCGTACCACAAAGATGACAGATTTAACACAGACAAGACAAAATAAAGAGTAACAAATGAAGGAACACTGAATAGCCTACAGACAGAGAAGAGGATTTTTAGGAGGGATATGAAGGTGTGCCGTGGGTGCTTGTCAGACAGACTGAAAAAAAACCCACAAAAAGAGGCAGCATCACTGGAGAAAAAAGGGCAAATACATGCCACAGTATTGTACAATAAGAAGCCCACTACGTTCTTAAAAATGATCTCACCACGAGTCATTAGTTCAACTAAATTTCACACCACTCCGCCTAAGGCAAGCAGAATTGCATAGGACTCTAAAAATACTAATTCTAGGAAACACCCCTCAGAAACACAAGCAGTCACCACCAGTTTGCACACATTCCCTGTCTCTAACATATTAGCTGTTATCTGACTATGTTGTCTTGTATCTTCAAATGCATTTCCATTCAATTTTACATTGTAAAATGAGGCTAGCCCACACTAAAAATACAGAAAAGCTGAGTACAGTGCCAGTATCGATCGGAATATTCAAAATCACACCTTAACGCTTTCACAAACCAGTGAAACAGAAATGTAAATACATCACAAATATCCAGTTTCAAGCTGGTAACAATTTTTACAGACTACAAGGCACTGCTATAGGGTCAGAAGTTGTATTTACTTCATTAGCACCAGGGGAATCGGTGATTTCTAAATATATTAGATTAAAAATGTATGCATCCAGATACATATTAGATCAATACACCTCCCTTCATTATTACATATATACACACATGCACATAATACATAGTTATTATGCAGCCATACACACAGAAAGTGTAGTTCAACATTAGCATCTATTCTTTCATTTATATGGATGGGGGTTTTATGAGTATCTCTGAACTATACTGTAAGAGTAATCTCTGCATTATACCCCACACTTCATTAATTAAAATGAAATAATACATTCAACAAGCTATATAATTTACCTAAGCACAAAGATGATTTATTTCTGCTCTGATAGCTGTTACGTATATCATGCACACAGTAGTTCTTTTTCAACATCAGTGTATGTGCTAGTTATCAGAATTCTTTGATAGCTGCATATTTTAGACTTATTCCTGTTTCCGCTGAAGAAAGTGTTTTGGTTACTGACTGTCACTAACTCTTCTAAAAGGAGAGAATACAGCATTCTTTAGCAAAGCTTCAAAGTAAAAAATAAATAATACACTAACTTACCCTTCCCTTCCGCATTGTTCAACCAAAATACCTCTAACACATAGCTAAGGATTATGAGTTTGTATCTTAAAACCTTCCAGCTTTTAAGAGCCAAATTCCACTCCTACTTCAAACACTGCTGCAGTATCACTGAATTTATGTCTTACACCAGCAGTAGAGAAGATGACTCTAATTACCTTCTTCTTTTTCTACTTCATGAAACACTTGCCCATTCCAAGAAGAAAAATTAAACCAGGGTTTGGGGTTTGTTTTGCTGAGGGGGGGATGTGTCTGGAGAAAAAAAAAAAAAAAAGAAAAAACAGACATAATAGCTGACTAACAGAAAAACTGAAACTGACTCATACCCAATGAGTACTAAAGAAGGATGTGAAGTAGGTAAGAGTGTAGGTCAAGAGGAAAACAGCACAAGGTTGAAGGAACTGATGTAAGGCAGCTACAGTCACCAGGACCACAGAAAGATGGAGGGCAACATGCAAGCTGTCACAGTAAGAATGTTAACCTTATTTTTTAGATTATAATAAGAACTTACGTTTGAATCATCAAGTGTGATATGTGGTTTTGCCAAAATTGCGGGAGGGGAGAACAACATGATTAGCAATTCCAGAAAAGGCTTTGATTTAACAAATTATACACAGAGTAATAGACAAACTGAGAGTAAGCATTATTCTACTACCTCTTTTCCTACAGAGAAACTATACATTTCACCGAGTACAAAGCCCATACAGAGCACGTGCATTCCAAAAAACAGACATGAAAACAAAATGCTATTAGATGCCTGTTGCCTGTAATAAATTTCAAATAATGCTATTGAAGTTTCCCTCAAATCAGTATTGGTCAGATCACTTCAGTCTGTCTTGATGCTTTGAGTGTGTTTCACTACCAGAGTGTGTTTTCAGTTACTGCTTCTTTATCTCAATTTAATTATTTTTGTAGAGTAATAAATTGAAGGAGAAATACCATTAGACATCTTTATGTTCTCTGCTAAAATTACACTTCAGTGATTACTATAAATTGATTCAGAATGGAAGAGAACTTCCTATTTACTTTATAGATTTCTGTATCAGCTGTTTTTCTATTTTACAAAGTAATTCTCACACAATGAAAAGAAATTCAGTTTTAAAAAAAAACACCACAAAGTAGGGGGAAAGCTCTGTGACAGGCACAGAGACTGGAATTAATAAAACAAATTTTATTCTTTATAGTTTGAATTATTTATATCCTTTGAATGTAACTATTTCCACATCCTTATTCTGATTCCTGACACCGCACAGGCAGGCAAGCAGGCAGGCAGGCTGACGGCACAAAGCTGCTGGCAAACAGCGTGCCCCTGTTTCCTTTCCAAGCTAGGTTTTTGGAAATACTCTTGGTTTCTGTTACCCTGCTATGATCTCTAACTTCCTAACCTATCTTGCAACAGTTTAACTTGATACCGTATCTGATAAACAAATCAATGTCACTGCTGAAACAACATTGCTGTAAAATCTGTCACTCTGGCTATGTCAGACTGTTATTAGCAGAGCAATATTAGCACAGCTTTACTTTCAACTGTACTAGGATCTCTCACAATCTGTTGTGAGATGTTACTTCAAATTAAACTCAATTTTAATTCAATCAGTGGTGGGGAGAAAGGGGAAGCAGAATAACCGATAACAACCTACTGCTACTCTGTACCATGGTTTTCTTCCAGTTCTTATTTCAAGATATTTTTCATAAATCCCTGTCACAAATAAACAGAGAAGGGAGAAGCAGGACAAAAGGACAGCTCCCCACATTAGTAAATTATTAAAAGTACCAGTGATGCTTTGAGCACTAGGTTGTATTTAACAGTGTGCTCAAAACATGCATAAGGGAAATGAAAATGGGAAAGGAACATTATTTGTCATGTATGTATCATCACAAAACAAGAAGTGAATGTGAGCGCTACTGTTGTAAAACACCTTAAGAATAATGAGGAAGAGCAATTCTTCTTGCTCACAGCTCTAATAGCTAGTAAAACCTACCAGTGAATGAGAACAAATGAAACAAAAGATGTGATAAAAATCTGTGGGCAGGTTCTAGGGAAGGTTTTAACACAGTTACATGGTTCAGCAACAAGAGTGGCTTCTATACCCAAACCAAAAAGAACTTTCACAGAAAACTAATTTTTTGTGTTTTCCAAAAATACCACACAACTGCACGTATACAGACCACGGGAAA